ATCAAGTAGGTGTGTACATAAAGACAAAGCTAATTCCTTCACAGTCTACCTCGTGTTTGTCAGTTCTCTAGATTCGACACAAGACATCAAATTATTAGGAGAATCGTTTTATGTTTGGATTCACTGCTGTTGGTGAAAGCACATGTAAATTGCATCTTCCCATACCCATTGGCTCCTTCTGTCTGAGGGAAGGCAGTGATATATCCCTCAGTTTGTCAGAAAAGGGCAGCTTTAATTTGCAGCAGTCTCCGAAACTGCCCACTGGTGGTAACTGCTGTGGGGAGTGCACTAAATGAAGCATATGACTGTCCAACATTACTCAGTTTCTGGGTTATGATGGCTCCCACTGGAAGGAAGTTTCTACTATAATGCATCACTGAAACTTCCCTTGGGCACAGTCCTTCAATCTGGGGAGCCCTGTGGAAAAGCTAATGTAATCCTGGGATGAATCTGGCCTACAAAAATGCAATGGGTTTTCATACTTCATAGGAAAATATTATTGGCAAGATTCTTTATCCCACTTGTTGGGGTCAGCATCAAATGCCTCATGAAAGCAAAATATTTCCAGAAACACTTATTTAGCATACATAAGACATTTCCCAGTAATAACATCTTATTGTTCAACAGGAAAAGCTGTCTGAAACTTCTGAAGCATCTTCTGGATCAGCTTAAAACAAAAGATGGAAACAGACGGGGGCTGGACAAATTCTGTTCCTACCATGCCAAAACTGCCTTTTTCCAAGCATGTGTCCTTTGGCCAGATGACAAACAATGGCTGTTCACAGACCTTGAGAGCTGTTTTCAAAAATTTTTGGATTACTTTCTGGATTGCCTCAACAACGCATACCTTCCACACTTTTTTATTCCTACACACAACCTTTTTAGTAGACAACTGATTGATAAGGCAAGCAGTGATTTCCTTTCAAAGGAAATTAAATATGAAATAAACAATAGATTTCCAATATTTGAACTGCAGAATTAAGGAAATATTCTATGATGTTTGTCAAAATTTTCATTTACATTTTATAGATCAGAATATCTAATAAAGAATCAACATTTGAAGTTATTCCTTGGGAATTTCTGATGCTATGAAAAGTGGAAGTAAAGTAATTGTGGTCAATAAATAAGACTTACACATTTAAATTAAATTATGCTTCTTAGTGGTAGAGGAGAAGGGATATCAGGACAAGTTTTTCACAATTTTAAGTCTGATTGGTGCCAGGCTACTTTCAACGGGAGGGTGAGTGGGTGTGGGGGGAAGAATTAGCTATAATCTATACTTTCCTGATCTACACAGTGCAGCAATGTATACTATGGAGGTGTGATTTCTCAAGTGCACTTGCATGTTACACATTAACTGGTCTGCATAGTCCCTGCTGGTGTACACTATAAACTCCCTCATGCACTGTAACACAATACAGTTCTACCCTAAAGTGCTAGGAAACTTTTAGTGTGAACCAACAGGGTCTATGTGGACCAATTAGTGCGCAAAACAGTGCGCTTTACAAATTACGCCCCTTGTAGTGCACAGTGCCACACACTATAGACAAGCTCTATGCTTCTAAGAAGGCAGCAGTGATTCAGTAGTAAAAACAAAATACAGATTTGACGCAGAACAATGCCAGACAAACAAATTTACAGACAAATGGCCATATTATACTCCTAGTTATACTGGTGCAGTTCTGAAGTCAATGGAGTTGCACCAGTATAAACACTGCTGAGTATCCTCCATATGTATTTACAGACAACAATCATAACTTACCTCTATATTTATCCCGAAGAGGCAACAGGGTCATAATTCAAAATGATCTGGACAAATTGGAGAAATGGTCTGAGCTAAACAGGATGAAGTTTAACAA